TCATTAAACAAGACATCTCTGGATATATAAACCTTTTGAGTCTCAAGGTCAAAAAGTCTATATCCTTTACTTGAAAGACTGTAACCAACAAATATACATCTTTTTGTTTTTGAATCCCATTTCTTTCTATTTTCCTTTGATACATGCATATAGGCAGTACATCCAAATACCTTAAAATGCGATACATCTGGTTTCTTTCCATAGAAGCTTTCATAAGGTGTCATTCCATTAACAGCTGCTGTAGGACTTCGATTTCTAATAACGACTGCTGTGCTTACAGCTTCAGCCCAAAACCTTTTCTCAAGATTTGCATGACACATCATGGACCTAGCCGCTTCTTGTATAGTTCGGTTCATTCTCTCGGATACACCATTCTGTTGTGGTGTTCTAGGTATACTTAATTGATGTTGAATTCCTTTTCTTTAAGATAGTTCATGAACTCTTTGGATCTATATTCACCGCCATTATCTGATCTAAGGATTTTGATCTTCTTCTCTGTGAAATTTGTAACCATAGCTTCATATTCCTTAAACTTCTCTAATACCTCATTTTTTCTTTTTATAAAGTAAACAGCTGTGAATCTGGACTTATCGTCAATAAAGGTAACATAGTAACGACTACCACCATAACTGTTTTCTTGCATAGGTCCACAAACGTCACTGTGAATGATTTCAAGAATTTCCTTTGCTTGAGTTGCTTGTCCTTTGGGAAATGAAATTCGATTCTGTTTGCCCTTTGCACAACCTTCACAGAACTTAGGTTCTTTTGTAGACTCAAAATCCAACCCATTAACCAATTTGTGATCTCTCAATAATTGCAAATTCTTTATACTCAAATGACCATACCTCTGATGCCATAAATCCTCTTGATGATCTTTTTTAACCATATTGACATCATGGAATTTATCATTCTTTAAACTTGCATCAAGTATGTATAAGCTATTTCGTAGCTTACCAGATCCCATGACAGTTCCTGATGTGTCAAAGATAACACATCCACTTTCTTGAAGATGAATTGAATATCCTCGCTTAGTCGTGGCACTTACTGAAAATAGATTCTTCGCAAGGTCTGGAACATGCAAAACATCCACCAATCTTACAGGTTTATATTTCTTACCAGCTTTGATGTTAAGCCAAATATTTCCTTTTCCAAATGCTTGGACAACACGATTATCTCCCAGACGTACATTTTGTGGGCTTGCAAAATGAACATAGTCAACCATCATTTTCTTTTCATATGACATGTGTTGGGATGCTCCTGAGTCTATATACCATTCAAAGTCTTTATGATTTTTAGATTCTGATGACCAAAATAATGCATGTTCAACAGATGCATTAAATGATGTATCTTCTTTTCTTTCTTTGGTGTCTCTGGACTTATTTTTCTTGGGTTTATTGCAATTTCTTGCCCAATGTCCAGGGATTCCACAATTGTAACATTTTCCTTTTTTCTTGTATTTTATTTTTATTTTATTGTTTCTCTCATTTTTTGACAATAAAGCATCTTCTCCAACATCTGCACTTGATAAATTTTCTTTACGTTTGTAGTCTTCATGCAACAACCTTGCTACTACAAATTCCAGTGTTAAATCATCAGCACGAGACTCTAAAGCTGTAATCAAGTTACTGTAGGATTCCGGGAGGCTACATAAGAGCGTTGCAACCTGATCATCCTCTGTTATAGATGCACCCAGCACTTCAAGCTGACTTGCCAAAGCTTTCATTTTATTAATATGCTCAGTCATAGATTCATCAATCCCCATAGTTGCCGAGAAATATTTCTTTCGAAGAAACAGTTTGTTCGCCAAAGACTTTACTTCATAGTGGTCTTCCAATTTTGACCATGCTTCCTTCGCTGTTTTAGCCGATCGAACTATTGACAATTGTTCGTCCTTTAATGATAAACAGATTGTAGCGAGAGCTTTTCTTTCTCGTCTTTGAAATTGTTTGCGTTGAGTTTCAGTAGAATCTTCAACAGAAGGCTCAACCTCGACGCCTTTAACAATATCCCAAAGATCTTTATCTTCTAGGATCATTTGTAACTTAAATTTCCAAAGATGAAAGTTCTCTCCATTAAATTTTTCGATTCGATACAACATTGCGTGTTCGTCACTACCTGACGCCATTGTCAAAACTTGTCAAAGATGCGGCTGATTTATCTATAAATTACACTCAACAAGTCCTCAAACCGAACAGGCGCTCTCTGGGCCCATAACCTGTTAATATTTAGCAAAATCATTCGGTTTGAGCAAACATTTATTTAATGTAGTGAGCTAATTTAATAAGAAGACTCAATACAAAACTATAATCGTAACTAACTACTCAGAGGAATGTCAATAGTTTATATATACACAAAGATATCACGTGACTAAATAAACTGAACTATATATATGAATACGAACTAGCGTTCTATTTTTCGTATAGTGATACAGTATAATCTTTAACACAAAATACTATTCTACCCATCCTGTCATCGAGTCCCAGCATAACGATTGTTGGATAAACATCTTTGCTGCTGTTGGAAGAGGACCACCTTTGAACATTGCTTTTATTAGTCTTGCCATCTTTATGATTGTTGGATAAACATCTTTGATGCTGTTGGAAGAAGATCACCTTTGAACATTGCTTTTATTTATCTTGCAATCTTTACGATTGTTGGATAAACATCTTTGCTGTTGTTGGAAGAAGACCACCTTTGAACATTGCTTTTATTAGTCTTGCCATCTTTATGGCTGTTAGCAAAAGCATCCTTGCTGCTTTTCGAAAAAGACCATTTGATGGGGCAACAATGATGGGGAATTATATTTTAGTAGTGAACTGTCTTTTGGTTATTCACTGCAAAAATAACATGCTTCATCTTTCTCTCACTCCTGCGGCAACAATTCTGTGATTACAGAAAGGTACGGAAACTGTGTTGATTTTACATCAGACACCACAAGGTAAGTAAAATTTTTATTTTTCTATCCGAACAGAATTAAGAAAATGGCGATATTAGAATTTTTTTTAGATGAGATTATAGACCCCCCTAGCATTGCCCCCAGACCCCCCTAGCGTTGCCTCGCGCCGAAGGCGCTTGCTACGTCACAGGGCCACGGTCAGCCCAGAAGCTGGATCCGCCCCTGACTACCTGCCTTTGGAGTGGTGATGTCTTGGGTAAAGACGATACGTTACAAATAATCATAAATAATTTCTTTAAAAAAGGGCTTTTTTTCGAATTTTACGTTGGGCAATTTTTTTAACACGATTTCATGTTAGTTCATGTTTAGAGTCGAATTCAACTACTTTAACATATTAACTTGGACATAATGACAGGCTTAACAAAGTTCAATTACTAATCCATGTTTAAACTGGGTTTGATTTAACCTATACCACTTGAGATGTAGTGTGACTTTTGTACACAAAGCAAATTTGAGCGGAGATTAGGCAAAGAATTCTGAAAGTGGAAACTTGAACAATTACCGCCATGTTTTTTCAAAATCTGTATCCTCAATGGAAATTCAAACTTCAGAAAAGGCACTTAACAAAATGAAAAAGTAGTTGAAACATGTGTACAACGTATTCTTTTCCTTGACAGTGCACGAAAAACTTTGCATGTTCATAGCTAAGTATCGAACAGGATAAAATTATTATAACCCAAAATTTTTCTACTTTTGATTAGATTTTCAAACAGAACTTTTATTATGACAGTTTTTATATCCAAGATATTAAAGTTTTGTAAAGTTCAGATTACATAACAAGTGACTTTGAGCTAAGAACGTAAATTCTTTGTATTATTTTGCCTAGGTTTTTCATGTAAAAGTTGCTAGGAAATTTAAAAACATTTGACACTTATTGACTAATACCCAGAGAAATCGTGTGCTTTTATCCCATAAGAGTACCATTGCTTCTCAAAGTTGTTTTAATTTATGTAAGTTTCCCGCTCATAAAATTGGAATAACAATGAAAAAATATTAACACATGTATTACATTTCAGTCTGATAGTTTGGTATGTATAAGAAAAGGAACACAAAATTTGTAGAAAAAGAACATAGGTAGGCTATATGTTTTGAATATTAAAGTTTTTAACATTCTCAACCCCAACACCGCAACGTCGCAAGAGTGTAATAACCTTTTTCTCCTTATTATTTCCATCACAACTATTGGTAATTCCACAGGCAAATTTTCCATTTCCTGCAAGTGCACCTCCCCAGAAATTCATCTTGATACAATTTCTTGACACCCACCACGCCACATTTGTTATCATGCTACCATAACATTCGTATTGTATAAACTGCTCACAGTAAGCTGAATCCTGAATTATTCTAAAGATTATATCAACCTGTAGTTTATATTTAACGTTTCGACTGTAAAACCCGGCATTCTCGTACCCTCGAAGATAAATTCTTCTTTCACTGTCACGTCCAAGTACGGTAACACCAACACGATTTTTCAATTGCATGTCGCAATAAATGCTAACAGATGCGTTTGACACGTATGGAAATATTTTATACATTCCAGATGACTTTATTTGTTTCCGTTGCCATTAAGCTGAACACGTGATGGAAAGTATTTTAGGAATGCCTGAAAAGGTTTAGTTTTTAATTTACATTTGCGTTTAAGAAATAAGGAAGATTGCATTAGCAAGGTATTTGAGTTGGCCAGTGAGCAAAGTATTTATTATAATTTGAGCAAAATTTTGTCAAACAGAGAAAAATCAAACAATCAAGCTATTTTAATGTTTTGTTTCTTTGCTGCTTATAATTGAAAATTTGCATGTAAATGGACAGTATATTTTTGAGATGAAGTGTTATATTTTTCTGTTTTGAATGTCTTAAGAGCAATTTTAAATCAGATAGTATTTGCAAATTATTTTATGAGTTCTTTTGCGTTTAACACTAACAGAAGTGATTTTTTACCTTTGTTTTATTCTTTTAGCAGTAACATAGACCTTTTCAATTCTTGAAGCGTTTGCTTTCATTTATAGAAGTGTTGTTGTAAAGCTTCAACTCTTCACTCATTTTCTTGTTTCTGTTGCCTATTACTTGAATAAGACGTCCTTGATTCAAAATTATCTTTTGCTGTTTTTTAAATTTCTGTTGGATCAGAATCATCTTGAATAAAAAGTAAACCAAAGCCGTGATAGAATGTTTAAAAATTTTTTTATTTACCACAGGACATTTATAAATGTTTAAATTACAACATTTGAATCACTTCTCGCTTTTCAAAATTTTTCACACCTCTTTATCGTCAGTTACTGCTCTCCATTCCAGTCCCTCATTAACAGAAAGCTGTTTCCTCTCCTTGCGATATGAGAGGAGACCTGGAACGTTGAGAATCATCTTCAAGCTCTTTTTATCACTTACTGTTAAAGTCTATATGACAATTAAGATATAATCATAAAAAAGTTCAATTGGTAAATAAATCGAAATAACTTTTGAGTTACGTTTCTACTTTTTATTTAGTAATGTGTTAAATTGTTAAGAGCATGAGCCCTAAAAAAGAAAAATTACGCGTTATAATTTATACAACCTTCAACAAAATTGGCTGTGATATACACTCTCATAGCTCAAATTAAAGTTGTTTGTTTACATCTTCTCGATCAACAGTTTGCTTTATGATATGTCTAACTTAAGTTCATGAGACGTTTTTTGCGCATTTTATTAATTAAATGATTGGCAACATTTTATTTCAATAATCCACTGTCTTTAAAAGCAGTTTCTGTAGCATTACAAAATGTGCTCCTTTTATCAAGCTCTCCGTTGCAACTGTAATGTTAAAATGGAAATGTCTTCAAATTTTTTTGTACGTGCATCGTTATTAAAACTTTTCTGACATAAGAAGATTATTACTCTATTTATAAAAACTAATTGATTTAACTGTAAGTACATTGGCAATTAAATAGCTTAAATATCTTCATACTTTAAATAGCTTGAATATGTTGGCGTTTTTAATAACTTCCAATAACTTCATTTGTTAAAATTTGCCACGATATGTTAGAAAAACAGTAAAAAAATCTAGTTTCGTTGTACAATCTATATATCTTTTCCTCTAATGTTCTGCATTCATAGATTGTTCATGATGCCTCTTCGTGCGGTGCATATACATGTATATACGTCAGCAATTTATTTATAATATATCTATGATCATGCTTTTCTAAATTAGAATAACCAAGTGATGTAAATTAAGCTTTGCGTTTGAGCATGCTCAGGTGCTCTTATCCAAACAGATTAAGAATATTTTGACAATAAAATATATCTTTTGGCATGCCAATTTTTCTGAGGGCATGACCAAGTCGTACTTATAAGTGCTGAAGAAGTTCTAGCTTTAAGATGTTGCCTGGAAACAAGATGAAACCAGTAGAATACTACAATACATAGGACGCAAAACGCAATGCACAAAGATTAATCCCTAAAAACAATTAGTCATCAGAAGTTACAATGAATTTGATAATAACTAAATGATTTTTGGTGGAGTTTTTAGTCGTGCTTTGCATGACCAGCATGGCCTTTAGCTACGCCGCTGAGCGAGATGCAATTATCTGAGTGCTTTTATGACATTTTTATTTTGTTAACTTAGTACAAATATTCAATTTACACTGTGATTGATTGATCCTAGCAAAATGGTGAATAAATGTGAAACATTCATTGAAATTAATTTTGTGCACTAGTTGTTGCAAATAGTGAGACCTCAAAATTTTGGATCACCTTATCCTTTTCCTCAACCAAATCTGACGGTGACCGAAAAAACGATTTGTCAAATGCGAAACTTCTTTCTAAAACACAACAATTCTTAAATCGTAAAGAACGAGAAAATGTAAAATTGAACAGAATCGGGCCATATGGAAAATTCCTAGAGAATTCAAAAAAGTAAAACTAAAAATATATGAAAGGAAGAGATTGTGTCACCAAAAGACACTTGTCTTTAGGACACAAAATACTGAGGATTCAAAAACGTTAACTCTTTAATATTCACTATTGTGATACTTTAACAATGCAAACTCTATCGAAACTCTATCGAAAAAATATTATCAATTTAAGCTAATAATCGCTATTTGAGATGATAGCATTACATGCATGCACTATTGTGAACTTGGAATGGAAGGTGAAACTATTTCACCGTATACCGTAAAATGGTATACGGTGAAGAGAAATTCCTTCCGCAGAATTTGCTCAGTTTGAACAGCCGAAAACTACACATCTGTCAGGCATTTTTGATGCAGAGCCATAGTAGATTAAGTAGAAATTATAGCAAAAATCATCCTTCACAAAACTTCCTGTCCTTATGCTACGTCAAATACTTCTCGATTCAGGCTCACATCAAGCAAATTGAACGCGCAGCAATTTTTCTCCATTAATGCGGCCTGGATGCTGGACAAGCCAGTGCATCAGACAGCCGGTCCCAAGCCCGGATAAACACATAGGGTGGACGTCAGGAAGAGCATCCGGTCCTTAAAAGAATATGCCACATGATAATATGCCGGAGACAATCAGAAGAGAAGACAATGCTAGGGCATACCCCGTAAGCGATGCGCAGCGGCACTACTGTCTTGACGCTGTGAAAAGAATGCAAGCGAGACAGAAAAACTTGAGAGTTGCGACCCTAAACATCGGGACGCTGACTGGAAAGAGCAGAGAAATAGCAGACAAGAGACAAGATGGAATGGTGGGAAATCAGGAGGGAAGGCAAGAAACATCGGAAAGAGCTACAAGCTGTACTACAGCGGAGGAGGAAAGCCAAAGAATGGAGTGGCTATATGCTTGAGTGAGGAATGGCAAGATAAAGTGATAGAGATCCAGAGAAAGTCCGATAGAATCATAATTATGAAACTGGTAACACCTGACAAGACGTTCAACATCGTGACTGCCTATGCACCTCAGCAAGGCTGTGAAAAAGACGAGAAGCAGAGATTTTGGAACCAACTTGAAGAAGTGACCACCAATGTGAAGAAAACAGAACAGCTGATTGTGGCAGGAGATCTCAATAGGCACATCGGAGAGAGAGTAGAGGGATTTGAGAGATGGCATGGAGGAAAGTCAATCGGAAGAAGAAATGAAGAAGGAGATAAGATCTTAGACTATGCAAGGAGCAAGGACCTCGCAGTGGTAAACACATTCTTCACACAGAGGGATGGAAACACCTACACGTACAAAAGTGGCCTTAGCCAGACCGTGATAGATTTCATCATGATAAGGAGAGATGACCTAGGCGATGTTAAATATTGTAAGGTTATCCCTAGTGAGGAAATTGCACTGCAGCATAGACTCGTTGTGATGGATTGTAAGATCAAGAAGAGGAGAAGAATAAGAAGAGAGACCGAAGAAGATCAACTGGTGGAAACTACATAATGAGGAAGGAGATGAGCTGGAAAGTAAGATCACAGAAATGCTAATGGAACAAAGCATGGTGGGAGATTGGAAATAGAATGAAACATACCCCAATATACTAGAAGCAGCAAAAGAGACATTGGGAGTTAGTAGAGGTGGGAAATACATAGAAAAAGAATCCTGGTGGTGGAATGAGGAAGTACAAGAGGCTGTGAAGAACAAGAAATAGCTTTTAAGAGATGGAAGAGATCTGGTTTCGAGGAAGACAGGGAGACTCTGAGAGAAATGAACAAGATCAGTAAAGAAAAGTGAGCGATTGTTAGAGAGAAAGGTCAGGAACAACTATACAAAGATCTGGAGCAAAACGGAGCGAAAAGAATCTACAAGTTAGCTAAAACTCGACAGAGAAGAGCAAAGGACATTGACAAGATCACTTTTGTCAAGGATGAGCAGGGAAAGATCGTGAGCGAAGATGAGAAAATCAAAGAGCGATGGAGGCAATATTTTGATAGAATTTTGAACACGAAGAACAACAGGAAAGAACTGGACCATCTTGAACCAGTCCATGGGCCAGTACCAGAGATTACGGAAGATGAAGTGAGAAGACAACTCAAAAAGATGAAGAACAATAAAGCAAGAGGACCGGATGAGCTCCCCATCGAACTAGGGAAGAAATTGGGAAACACAGGAACAGAGTGGATGACATCATGCTGCAGAGAAATAATGAAGACAGGAATACCAGAAGAATGGAGAACAAGCAGAATAGTGCCCATTTACAAACAGAAAAGTGATCCCCTAAGCTGTGGAAACTATCGAGGCATTAAACTCCTCTGCCACTCAATGAAATTATTTGAGAGAGTGATAGAGGCGAGACTGAGAGAAATAGGGAAGATAAAGGACAACTAATATGGATTCCAACGCGGAAAATCAACCACTGAGCCGATGTTCTGTCTGCGGATGCTGCAAGAGAAGTATAGAGAATTCAACAAAGAGCTACATATGGTTTTCGTGGACCTTGAAAAGGCATATGATACAATCCCGAGGGAGCTAATATGGTACTGTCTAAGGAAGCGTCAAGTCCCAGAGGCCTATATTGAAACCATCAAAGATATGTATAAGCGCTCTACCACTAGTGTCGCAACGAACGTTGGTGAGACTGAGAAAATTCAAGTAGATGTCGGGTTACATCAAGGCTCGGCACTAAGCCCCCTACTGTTTATTATTATTATGGATGTAATCTCGGATGACACGACAGAGGACACACCTTGGAGTATGCTGTTTGCACATGATTTGGTCTTGTGTGATGAGAAGAGAGAACATCTGGAAGGAAGACTAGAAGATTGGAGAAGCATATTAGAAGACGTTGGCTTGAAAGTTAATAGAGCCAAGACAGAGTACCTCCCACCGAGTGGCTGCATAGGAAACATCAAGCTAAGAGAATATACTGGACCCGGAAATACAGATCTACCAAAGTGCGAGACATTTCGGGACCACCATCCATCAGGATGGCGGTTGCAAGACTGAGGTTGTACTACGGATTAGCCGGGCATGGAATAAATGGAGGGAGTTAACGGGAGTGCTCTGTGATAAGAAGATGCCGAAGAAACTGAAGATCCTCATCTACAAAACGGTGATACGCCCAGTGCTTCTGTATGGGAATGAAGCATGGCCTGTTACAGACTACCTAGCAGAGAAGATCAGTGTATGCGAGATGAGAATGCTACGCTATTGTCTTGGAGTCAGCCTGGAGGAGCACAGAACAAATGAAAGCATAAGAGAAGAAGCGAATGTCATGAGTATACTGGAATTGATGAGAAGAAAAAGACTGCAGTGGTTCGGACATGTGTGCCGGCTTGAAGAAGATGTAGACATTCGGAGAGTTTATGAGATGCAAGTGGAGGGGAGACGGAAACGAGGACGCCCAAAGCATCGGTGGAAGGATACCATCAGGAGAGACATGCAACTATGTGGTGTCAAAGAAGAGGATACCCAGGACAGAGCAGCCTGGAGAAGTCTGATAGAACTGGGTCTCCGGCAAAGACCCGCTACCCGAGCAGGACACAGCGGAGAAAGGTGACCATGGGAAATTTTGAGAAAAGAACGCATTTATCTCATAAACGAAGCCATCAATCAGAAAATTGTAAAATAACTTTTACAATGATTTGTTTACCTCAATCAGAATATTCAAAAAAAATTGTGAGATAAGCACTTTAAATCGTGCTTATCACGTAAATTATTACGAAATTATAGAAATATTTCATTAGACTATAGACCAACAGTAATTTCTTTATCATTTAAATACTGATTTAGTTCAACCATTAAAAATTAACAAAAAAGGCAAGCTTATAATGATTACGGAAATGGAATGTCATAAAAACAAAACAATGTTATAAATTCAATAATTATATATGAAACCAAGTGCTATTTTCATTTACAGAATATGAATTAAAAATATTTAGAAAAACTATTTAGAAAAGTAGACTAATTTTTATAGTTTTTTGCACTTACGTTTTCTTAAGACATTTAATTAATAAAATCGAGATGCTGACCAAAACCGATTAATATCAAAATTCTTGCTGTTACTAATTTGGCAAAATTCAAAGTCATGTGACATGTTGAAGTTACTTTAAGAAAAGTTGCAATTTTATACATGTCATTGTTATAAACTTTAAGTTATATATGTTGTCAGAACCGTAATACTGTCTCCGCCAGTTTGAAACGAAGATTATCGTATCCTTTTTCTACCAGAGATGCATGTTCCACAACTCAATAGCTCGTTGTGGCCAAATGTATATCGTAAATACTAAGTTGATCTAATCAACTCCTCCAATCCAATAAGCGCTTCGTATCTATTCAACGCAACCACCGAAGCGTTATTAAGTACTAGACACCCCATACAAATTACTAATTGTCGATTTGCCTCAGAAAACGTAAGTTTACTGTAAGTTTTGTTTCCATTTGTTCGCACTGAAGTGATGGAAATGATATGCATGAACGCCTCTGTAGTAAACGAATCATATGTATTTCCTTCACCCACCTACCCTTGAGGGAACTTCAAGACTTCAACAAACGCTCAGGCGTTCATTATATCATTACAATAAGTGAGTTCAGTTTGCACTTTCCTAACATTTTATCACTTTACCAGTTTTAATAATATATTTCCATCCAAAATAAAAAAATTGCCAAAAAACTCATGTTTACATTGTAGCATATTAATATATAAATATTTGAAATCTTTTCAATCAAATATACATGAAAATTAAGAAATGCTCTTAATTACATAAACAGAAATGACGAGGAGCAAGATTAGGTTTGTCTTTGATAAATGAGCTGCATTGCCATGATTCTTGGTTGATTGTACGGTCATTGATAGAGAATTTGACGTGACTTGGTAACTTCTGTTTCAGTGAAAATGACAAAAATATTTTTGAAATTTTGAAATTTAAAATTTTGTACATGGTGTCTGAAAAAAAAGGAGCATACGCATGCATATCGAGTTAATTTGCTGCACAAATTTAAACAGTATTTAGATAAAATTTAAATCAGTTTGATGCATTAACAGGGGTTAATCCATTCCCATTCGAGACGATGGCTTATGAAACAAATTTTCGTTTCATCAAAAACACAGTTTAATTCGAAGCACAGAAGCTTCCTTCTATTAGCATCATGGGATACGTTAACAATGCTACCTAATGGCGCGTGACCTGAAAAATAAAACTATAAAAATATTTTATGCCAGCCGTACACTTACGTTGGTAGAAATACAACGGGAGATGATTTCCTAGAATTATCTTTTGCCAAAGACTATCAACGCTCGACAAACGCGATGATCGTCTTGTGTGTTTCCGTCTACGTTTATTTTTTCTTCTATGTTTTTTTACAGGTCTCTTTTTCCCGTAACTATGAATAAAACGCAAACAGTCTATTCGAGCAATGCCACAATTAGTTTTTACACGCTTCCCTAATTCGACACACTGATACATATCTAGGGAAAATTAAATTTAAGGGAAAATTATTCAATTTCAGAAGCTATTTATAAAAATCGATGTAAAACAAAATTACGATTATTTTTTGTCGCATATAACAACATACCAAGCCTTTAATAAACCATGAAGTTAGCTGCCCTCCCTAAAATGGTCGTATGCTGTTGTTAAAATATGCTTTTTGGTAAGCTAAACATACACATATAACTAGTGAATTGATAAAACGTCTCTTACCACATCCGGATTTGGATGAAATAATTTTATAATCAAACGTCAGAAAACTCTTTTCAGTCATTCACATCGACTATCGAAATCTTATCAATACGGATTGTTGGAAGGTACGGAACTAGCCTCAACAAAAACGATTGAGCTTTTTGACCGTGACATTAAAAAACTAGGAGGACAGTTCAGATCTGACGTCATATCGGAAACACGCTTTTAGTAAACACTGTATTTTACACATAATCTCTCCAAAATAATAGCAATTTTCTCTTATTACACACTACACACGTGCGTGCCATCTTGTGTTGCAGATGTTCAAAATATCCAAATTTAAATAAAGTAAAACAGACGAATTCCCATGGTGACGTCATAAATAACATTAGTTAGCAGTTTTTTATAGCTAATGTAGGTCAAACAAATAAAATGTTCAATTTTCAACTTTGAGTGCCAAAAAATATATCAAAAAGATACTTTCGAATTATAAAACCGTTTTCAAGTAGCCTGAACTATCTAAATAATACAAACGCAGAAACCTAACATGGCCACTTTTACTTTCATCATTGACAGCGAACGTAAGCTTTACGTCATTGTATACTGCATAACGTTTCACTTGTATGATCCGCTTAGATCTAATGTCGTGATTTTCTTACACAGCACAAGTTCGAATTCCGTAAACTTTTGATCACAAAGCACAAATATAACCAGTGGCGAAGCCTGCCTGCGAGTTTGGTCCTGCAATGTAAACTTTAGATCATTAGCATTATTCATTTCTTTAGAAATCTGTTGTTTTTGCCATGAGTGAACAAAGAAAAATTAACATAGCAGGATCAAATCAGGCACCAAAAAGATATTTTGCTGTAATTCCCCTTAACACATGAACTTTGGGTTTGCCTTCGCTCTTAATCGATCTAGTTAAGTAAATAAGAAGTTTTAGCACAACAGCCTGAGATATTTTACTCAGAAAGCGTCGAACGACGTAATCATACACATTTATTGGTATTATTGGTTATCGTTTGTGTGTCCGACAATCCCCGAGGATACAGGCTAGTTCACACAACACGATTTATCGGATGCAAATTTGTCAGATCAAACTAAAAATCGGATGGAAATAGAACTTGCTCTATTTTCATCCGACAAGATCAAAGGAGGCCGAAAAACTTGGAAACGAGAACAAAAATAAAAAAATAAATCGATAAATGTACTGGATAAGACAAATTGCTGTTCAAACGACTATAAATATCCAAACATAGATATCGCCTGAATTATCGGACAAGCAACCAAAAGTCGCAGCCGAAACAATGGGATCGTGTAAACGGGCCTTAAGACACTTTTTAGTGTAGCGCGATATTAGCAGCGCATGCGCAGCAGCTATCCACAAAGACAAATATACAGTTATAAATAACGAATCGCTTAGAACGTCCTTGCACTTAGACAAAAAACGTATTTCTGATGACACTATTACAGCAAACTAGTTTGATAGCTACTTAGGAAGACTTGTTCAAAAAAAAAACAAACTCGTGAAATTCTTCTTACCGTGGCAAGGGATCATTGGATTTAACATGAGCAATGTTATAACCCTCTTTCCTCATAAGTTCAATTATACTTCGATTGCCCAGAAAATGACCTGCAAAAGTCAGATGAAAACTTGTACTGCAAAAGTTAATCAACAGTTCTTCAAAATTAGCGCGATTTACAAAAATATGGCAATCGAATCAACTATATATGCATATATTTGACTAAAAAACTGTAAACTCAACAGTGGAAGGCAAATTAATAAGTTTTGAGAACCAACGAACATCTCTACTAAATTCAATAGATATAGCTATATACCTGCTCCTAATGCAAAAAAGAGTTGTTTCTTCGGATTTTCTTCAATTAGCGTTATCACTCGTTTAAACATTCTTTCATTTCGTTTGTAAATCAATTCTTCTCGCATGTATCTGTCCAACAATTGCGCTTGCACCTGTTCACGTCTTCTGCTTGAAATCGTAGAATTTAAAAGGGCTGATGCGTTTTTCAAAACTTGAGGGAACAGTAGTTTCTTGAGATCACCACAGTTATAGTGGAATATTAATTTTTTTGTTGAAAATGTCGGTTTGGCTTTGTCACGTCGAATTTTCTCCTGAGAAGTAATAGTCTGATTCAGGGCAACGACAACCTTTCCAACAAAACAAAAAAATTTTTAAATTACGTAGCAATTGAGCAAATCATTCACACTAGTTCAATCACATGACTCAGTAAAGGAGCATATGCTTCTATTCGTTGAACGGTACAACAAAACTTGAAAGTCGTAATTCATTAAATGAAAGTTTATAAAATTCTCTGATTACTCTTTCACTAACAACAACTTCTTTCCATATTTATTTCAATAATTCGTTTCGACGAGCTTTTGGCCACTCTAGATACATAGACGGAGGCTTCTATATGCATATACAAGATTAATGTAAAGTATGAGCTAATATATAAAACTTAAGTTGTGTTACATCATGGCATAAGAACTTTAATTACTCTTGATGAGGTGAATAAAGTAACTATCGGAGACAACGTTTCTTTGTGATTTTTTGTGTTTTGTTTTGGTAATGGATTTGTACTGTAATCACTTATCTGAACTTTTAGATCTTTTCAAGTACAAAGACTCCTAAGTTTTTCTTTGTCTAAAATTTCTTCTATTATTAATTGCGCAGTTGTGAAAATCCATTCTATTAATGATTGGTTTACAATATGTCTTTACATAACCGCGCTTGGATCGAACATTCTTTATCATTGCTTGAATACAAAACTATGAGATCGTTTTTTCGACATCATTGAAGCCGGGTCATTTGCCATGCTTTACCTATTGACAATATCAAATATTTGAACCATGTTCTTCCACCAAGTGGACAAAAAACTGCAAATTAAAGTTATTACATAAAACTTCATAAAGAATAACTGCAAAATGTGTGCATGTGATTTTTGTCCACAAATTTGATTGGAGTTTGAAAATTACATGTCAGACTCTAGTTATTCCAGTTTTTATTTAGCCACTTATAGAGTGATTTATAGATAAAGTTTGTCTATCTCTGTGTGCTGTTTACGTTCAAAAATACATTACAATCTACTTTGTTTCCACCAGGAGCGAATTCATTTTGTACAGTTGATACTATTTCAATGACTATAGGTAAATGCTTAATTCTGAAAGAAAGCCGCAGTTTTAAAAATATGGCACCGTATGTTGGCTTGTGTTTAAACACAGTATACTAGAGACATATTGATTTAATATAAAGCAAAATATGTTATCCCATTGTCATTCTTCATGCTTGTAATGCAGAAGTCTTCACTCGTCAAAATAAGATGCATCATTTGACGAATACGTGTTCAGTGTATAATGTAATGAATAAGGAGATAAGGAGTGAAATACTTAAGAATAATGCACGACGCGCGCTCACGAGACCTATACGTCGCTTGCTACGGCCTTATTGCAGATATGATAATGCTTTAATCGACTTGAAAGGCTTCGATAAAGCTGTCATCCGCTTAACGCTTTAGGTGGCTTATTTTTCAAATATTGTTTGCCATTTCGTTTGGTGATTTTTACAGATCTGCTATACTGCCACCATTGTTACCACGTACATCAGTAAGGGTTTGGAGGATGATTTAACCGAGTTTTGAAATGATATTCTTACTAGTAAGCAACTTTGCTTATCTCTTCAAGAGTCTTAAAGAGATTTTGATGGTCTGACTTAATATAAAAATAATCAATTACTCGATTTTCCTGTTAGAGAAATTAATTAACATCAATCTTCAAAAATTAGTTAATACCAAAAGTAGCTAAGCACATTTTCTGCAAGAGGTTAAAAAAAGGGTTATGTTAATGTCAAACATTAATCACATAACAAATACAGTCATATGGATAACTCTATCTTCATAGATTTATCACAATATACATGTCCTATATAGACCTCAATAAAAGCATGTCCAGTAACAAATTAACATTCACATGTCCTTTTCTGTCCCTTTTAATCCCTTTCTATCAACTCGGGACACGATTGGATTACGTGGAGTATATTTTGAGCTTGTGTGATAAAAAACCCCGGCATGTAGCTATCATATGTGTCTTAAAATAATGTTCGGCCACATTAATGAAAGAGACAGCTGTGTAGTACACAATGGTAACCTACGTAGCACTTAAATCAATTAGACCACATGCAGGTATTTAATGCAAGTGTTTACATAAGAATCATAGAAGTAGTGTTAAAAATACTGTGTTTCATTTAGATCACTCTATAGTTTTTACTTCGGTAAAACAAAGTTCCAACGATGTAATTATTTTCTCGTTGAGATTTTCAACATAATTTGTTGATTTTAGATAAAATTTCAAGCAGTCATTGCCCCAAAAAAATAGGCTAATTTGCGCAAACAATATCCTGCTTAATTCAGAACAAACCATTCAATTTTTCACAACAGTGATACTGTTATTTGCCCAATTTTAAATTTACTCGATTTTACATGCTATCTTCTTTTGTCACGACAAAAGATAAACAAATTTGACATGATAATGAATAGAAAGCGTCATTCATGTCAGCAATTAAAAGAAAATGACATTGCCTTAGAAGTCAAAAACGGTAAGGCGAGTTTTTGAACAACCTGCTAAACTGTTCTAATATATTCAATAAGGCTCAAATCTTAAAAAACTGCGGTAATTGTAGTATTATTGTAGTAAGAATACTATACAACATGGCGTTTTCTTTTGTTGCTGTTTTGTCTACATTGCGAATGGCGAAACAACATGATGTTTCAAATCGTACAATTTCCCGCAATCAGATACTGATGTAAAGAAATTCAAAGCAAAGCTTCAACGTCAAAAAAAGTTCCCCAGCGCTTCGTCATACATTTGGTCTTGAAAGATAGCTATATTCGCAATTAACTTGATAACTTTTTAAGAATTAAAAAAAAACATCAGCAAGATAAACGTATTGATTTATTTATGTATTTGCTTATTTTATCGAAATAAATGAGATAAATAAGCAAACACATAAATAAATTTATAATACAGTAAAATGTATAAATATATTAAAACGTATAATAGAAACAGCAGAAACAGCACCAGTAAGTTTAAATCTCTATTTTACCTGACTGTTATTGAGAGCATTCAGAGAACCACATTGCTCTTCGACACTTTCCACTGACCCAGTGTTTTTGCTACGACGAATCGCTTCTCGAATTAGAAACGTATCAAGGACGGATATACCACGACTTTTTGTGTCGTATTCGTTCAAAGCGTTCAACAGTAACATTATCCAAATTGGACGTTTCCTTCTCCAATCTCTGGTCATAGATGTGAACAAGTCAAATGGATTTAGACCTAATGTTCGTTGTTGCAGGGTCATCCATCTAGGAAATACTCTTCGAATATGAGCTAAGTGTTTTCGTATCCGTCGGAAGAGACTTCGGGAAGGACATTTCGGAGTTGTTGCTTTCCTGGTAACATCTGACATCGTGCTAATGTTTTCAAAGTAACCCGGTCCGTTAGGTCCAGCTCAAAGTAAATATTGTGCGATGCGTAGAACGCTCGTTTGCTATTGGCTGGGATATTATCCCAAACTTTTGTGTATGCAACGTGAATAGTACCAAAAAAGTACACTGGTGGCGAGCGCTCGAGTACCCAGAGAAACGAGTTCAGTTGCCGACTCTACACAAAGTACCGAAAGACACATCGAGTCATGTTTGTCATCGAAAATCTTAATACTCGGTTTTCAACTGAAGAAGCAATACCTTGCGACTGGGGCATTCTCCCAGCTTATCAATATCTCGTCTATATTTTCGCTCGATCTTCTCTTCTTTGTTCTACATGGAAAATGAATTAAAGACTGAATAAACAGAAAATACACGCGGTTTTTTTCATGCAATTATATTGATGTTAATCTCTATTTGCTTACCAAATTGACAAGTAGCCAAAGCCAAAGTGCGTAAGTGGCCATTTATCGCTTAAGGAATGTTCTCAAGCACTTCATAATGACATACAAACGTAAATATCTGACCAGAGCTTTGACATATTTATTACGACGAGCTCAAAATGTTAAAGGTACTATTGATATGAGCATGTCGCGTTGCTTATTTCTTGTTCTATAGTGCTTAAACAAAAGACTTGAGATTAATCAAGTCAATGTATCGCCTAATTGGTCCTTTGCGCTTCCTTCGCCAATCTCGAGCTCAATAAAAAGCACTCAACCACAGCAGGGGAAGCAACATCATGCTGATACGACTAACGTACATTAAAAGCACAGTGGGAAAGTAAACGTCTACCGCCAGTAACTTCATTATTCTAGATACACGATATTTTTGTACTCTTTCCTTTCCCCCTAGGAAAATCACATACATGAAAATACTGTTTTATTTATAGAAGACAACTCACTTAAGTCAAAATAAAATCCAAACGATTTGCGAGTGCAGTTGGGAAGATAGTTGCAATGAACAATATTATGTAGCAATTATAATAATGTTGCAAATGAAAAGTATAAATCGAAACAATAGCACAACATAGTTCGAACAAAAAATCGGGAAAATCGGATTTATTTATCTTACAAATATTGTATAATGTTTGATGATAAAATTTACAATATAAACATACCTGTGTATTACAGGCCTGTGGTTATAACAACAGCTTGAATTTTAGCAACAGTAACTACGAAGCGAAGGGCACAATCAAAAGCCAAATTTTAATCGATGAAGGATACAGAACATAAACAATCTGCATGAATCCTCGAACAATGATTGGAGGAGGCCGTATAATTTTTATATTCCTACCGTCAACATCTTTTCGACTACGTTACACCTTTTCAGCACGATTTGAAATCGTCGAGAAAAAAGAAAACCGGTTGACAAAAATTCTACCTTGTTGTCCTTACTGCGTGCTTCGTTTTTGCGAACGGAAACTATTGTATCGTGATGACAATATTTTGATGACCTAAGCTCTGTCATTACTTATTTTTCCTGCAGACCTTTCTCGGCAATACGAAGCTAAAGCATTCCGATTAGCCAAAACAAAATAACACAAGTTTCAGATAAGAGCTCTTCAACCAATTTTGTTTTGCGTTCAAACAATCAATAATGAAAATGCAAGCGATACCGAAAAGTATAGTCGAACGCAAAACACAAGAATCTTAATTGAACTTTCTTTTTCCTGTCGAGATGAGAAACAAACTGGGTTGTCATGGGAAACCCCGACTGACTTATTAACACAGCAATTAAACTTCTTTAAACAGTGCAACATTTGGGCAATAAATAAGCAAACTACACATTTCTTTGCTGAAATACCGCAGTGCTGGATACGTATATCGATTCAAAAGCGAGAAAAAGCATTAATAGGAGAAAGAACGACAGTCAAATCTTTTATGAAAAGTTAAATTTTTTGCATCGTCGTAGGTAATATTGCAACTCGTTTGGTTTAGCCAAAAAGATCAACTTTTCAATCTCATATGAGTCAATAAAGATGAATGTGCTTACTCTTTATGAAGAAAATAACCATGCATAGTATTAACATGAATCACTTCATTTGAAACTTTTTTGACCAACACATGTGTGATTATTACAATTTTAACCAAAATTCGCAAAAAGACAAATATCGGGGGGTTACAGGTTGTGGAACACTTTTGGCAATTGTTGCTTTAACATAGTCATATGCTTTCACGAGTGTTAGCTACATATCTACGACCTTTTCTTCTGTATTTGTTTTTATATATACTGTAGCTACATTGGCTAATAAAGCTCAATAAACCTAAAATCAGATAACTTTCGTTGCTCTAAGCGTAATCCCTTCAACAGAGAGCATGACATCACTGCATGGGCTACTTAATTTTGGGGCAAGAAACAAAAGTTTGTCAAGTTCATCACAAGTAAAAAACAAAGTCGAATAAACTAAACCTATAAAATATGTGAAAAGCCAAAACAAACCATAATCATCATACCTAGCTTATAATTCCGTGTAGGATGATAACCGTTCTTATGCAGACTACCAATCATAAGATAAACTGTTTTCTTCGCTTTTTTTTCTTGTCACCAACCAAATCTCTAAGCAAAGGAGTTACAAATGACAGCTTTGCAACAAGAAAGACAAAAGGTTCCCGATCCATTTGTGGATAATGTACACATGGCGGAAACTGCGAGGTACGGAATGCTTGTTTGTATCATTTAAGTATCGAACTCCAATTTTTCATTTTTCATAGGAGGCTCGATAGAAAATGTAAAATCTATTTAAAAACGTTTGTTAACGTTTGTAATCATAAGGTCCTGTTAACAAAATACCGGATTCGTTTGATACCGAATTACTTTTCATACCGGATAGTCCTTGCGTTCATACGTCTCCCCTGTATTCCGATACGCTCTGTATCGCTTTTCCAGAGCGATTTGACTCCGCTGTGGAAGTTGTATGAAAACCGATCCGATACGTTCCGTTGTGGTGTGAACACAATGGTGTGAACGCTCGAATCCGATACGTTCTACTTTAGCTACTTAGAAGTCCGTGCGATTTTTCAAAAATAAAAGCGAACATAGAGATACAAACTATGTTTCAAATGAATAATCCACCAGCAAATATAATATATCTTCATCAAGGCATGTTTAAGCTTTTAACAATGTATTATCGTAGTGTGAAAGGCTTCTCCCTTGCGCCCATTCGTACAAAACCTTAATACGCTGAAGAAAAAACTCTACGTTGTTATCTATCAAAAAATTTATCCTTTTATTAATACTTACGAAATACTTGAACTAGCAACCATAGCTGTTATTACCTGCACGTACAAGTACTGGGGTACGGTGGCCCGTACGTGCAATTCACAAAATAAACATGAAATGCGAACTCTATTTGTTTAATACACAAGCTGAAACTTTACAATTCAATAAATGTTTGTGGAATGCAAAATCTCGCTTTCTATAATACGAAATCAAATGTGATCACAATACAAAATCGAATTTGATCACAATACAAAATCGAATTTGATCACAATACAAAATCGAATTTGATCATAATACAAAATCGAATTTGACCACAATACAAAAATTGCCGCTGCCCAGTGACTTTGTCGGACCATTCATCCCTTTGCTAAGTTAGTCATATTTTCATTTTGCGGAGTTGTCTGACTGTGTATCTCGGACAAATAATTGTCAACAATTATTTCTGATAGTACGTTTTATAGCCATTGCGGCTGCCGCTTGGAAACAGCATTTCTATTTTGCGCTAAATGTGGACGAAGAATCAATGCTTAAGTTTGTAGCACAGCGACAAGAAGCGCTACTGTCCATACAATGGACTCTGCCGCTACTACTTCATCTACTGCCACATCCACATCTACCGGTAAGCCTCTAACATATTCAATTTTGAAACGTTCAAGAAGGTTAAAGAATCAGAACGACGGTCGCGATTTGAGCCCAAAGCAAAGCGAAAGAAATATGCGACAGAAAAAACAGTGTCTATAAATGTTGGATTAATAGAGTTGCAGAGCGGAGAATATAGACGTGTGTTTGGTAAAACGTTGCCGGTTTAACTTCCCAAGGCTGTGGGTATGAAGAACCTTTTCAACGGCTGCTCAAGTCGTTGTAAAAGTGGAAAGATTATGACTGCAGTTTTAACATTAAAGAAGTACAAAGATGTTTTAGGAAAACCATATTTTCGAATAATCCTACTCTTGGCACCCACACAAGAATTCGAAGAAAAAAGACTGTATCAATTTTAACATGTTGACAAGAGATGATTATGAGATTGTCAGTATTGAATGAGATGATGGTTTTCAAAGTGTTGATGACATAAATGATGTTGAAAATGAAAATGCTAGGGGTGAGGAGGTCACAAATGAAAAGTTTGATTTGGAAAACAATTATTCTGGTCCATTTGTGATTACAGATTTTCTGTAAGCCCTTAAGTGTATTTTATGTTTACTACTTACGTATTCTGAATATTTTTTTGCTGTACGTATATGTTCAGAGATTAACCTTTATCGACAAGAAAAATATTTTCTATTTATTAGACCTGTTGGAATAGATAAGAATGATGCAGTCAGAAAAGCAATTAATAATAGCTTGCACAAAATTCAACATGTTGATGAAGATACTATTGAAAGAAACAATTGTCCAACAAACGTTCCCACAGAGCATTGGATAAATGTGATTAAAGAATATGCTGACAAGAGTGTCCCAGTAAATCAACACAGCATTGTGGTTAGTGGGCTTAGTATCTGTTCTACTGCACAATCATATTTTAGGAAGAGCGGATTCTTGCAGAAAAGTGGCTTATTCAATGTGATATTTGCATCATTTGAGAATGAGGAGGATGCTTCAGATCTGGTTGGACCCAAAAAAGAATTTTTTCATATTCTTATAGGTGGGATTGCACGAGACAGTGGAGCTCTAATCAGTAAGGGATTCTTATTTATTAGTTAAAATACTAGTTCAGGCAATCTGTACAGATAATTTTGAGGAACTTGTTCTTGAAATATTTAGATACTGTATGTGGCCATATTCTACGTTGCAATGTTGGTGCATTGAAAAATGATACATTTCTGGTTATTGGCAAAATGCTTGCGACCATGATAGTGCAGGGATGGGAGCCTCCACGCTTGTTTAGTCCAACAATTTGTTGCTACATTGAAAATATGTTTGTGCACTATGGTTTGGAAGTGGAAGAAGTCCCACATAAATCAGTGAGAGATTCGTTAGTGAAGGTAATTAGCCATAATATAGTAAGAACATGTATTTCATCTCTATTATTTTCCATGCAAAGTGTATATCGACCTACTCAACTGCATGCTCTTTTAATTTTAGATTGCAGTAAGTCAATCTATTATTTACACATTTTGCTTTTTAGATAAAAGATGTCAAAACTCAGATAGACGTGGGCATCATCATCATCATGGAAGTCCGTCGCGAAGCGAGGATGACGTCAGTGGCGCCTCATGGGGTGAGGCGTACTGATTCCTGGGCAAGTAGTATGAAAGTCCTGAGCTGCCCAAACTCCAAGACTCCCCTCTCGGCCTAGACGTTGTAGTCCAAAGGAACACATAGTGCTACAGTTTGGAATCGCTTCGGCAGCAGGAGCTGCCAGAAAGATGACAGGGTATGTCAGCAGACTGCCTTTGGGGCCCCACTCCGGATTTCTGTCAGGTTTACTCCTTAGCCTTTTCTTCTCCCAAAGATGCCCACAAGGCAGTGAGACCATTTATTTATGGATGGAGCACACTTGGTCATTGGGTCACTCCTGTGGACCATCCTCCCTGGCGGTTGGCTGCCTGTCGCTGCTCGTCCACCCAGTGGTACAGTGTAAACACCACCCCCTCACATGGTTTAGCCCGCCTGCTGAGACGATGACCGGGGCATGGTGCTTGGAGCCACATGTGAGAGATTTAGGGATGAGTGGGTACCAGTGATGCCCGTCCACCCTACCAGGTAGAGTGCAGCAGCCAGACACCAAAGGTGCTACCCCTCCTCAGAGCCCCAATGCCCCAGACGTGGGCACACTATTGAACAAATGTTAATGGAGATTTGACATTGATAGGATTTTCCAAATGGTGCCAATTGAGAGAAAAGATATTTTTGTTGATGAAGTTGTTAAGTTACAGGTTTGTAAATGATGATCGTCCAGGTTAATAAAGTCCTGAGAAGGACTGTTTTTGTTGTTGTTGACTGACGTTTCGATAATCCTAAGGTAGTCATCTTCAGAGTCAAAGAAGTTGTTAAGTATTAAGTGGTGATACGATGTCAAGCCATACTTGAGCAACTTTTTGAGGGCTTGAAGTAGTATGGTGTAAGGCTCCTTGAAAAACCCTCTTATCATAATGATTATGATGATAAGAAATATATTTAATTTTTCCCAAATTCATACTTTATAGGCTCTCAACTTTATTAGAAACAATAAAGGGATGGCTGAACATCTCTTCAAATTTACTAAAAGACACTAGATGCAAACAAAGTAGCTAGTATTCTTAAACCAGATTTTGCTCCAGGTGGTCATCATAGAAAAGCCTCAAAAGAAATTGTATGTCTAAGGTTATTGCATTTTTAAAGGCTGCGAAAGGCAAGTTGTAAATATGTCCAAACCAGCATTCTGTAGGTGCTAATTTAGTAGCTATAGTTTGGAATGCTAAATGGAGATTAAAAATTTTGATCAGATGTTTCCGGGTTTTTTCTTAGAAAATACATTAACGGAAGACCTTAAAGATGATGGTATTCAGTTGACCCAGCTGCAACAAGACTTTATTTGCACACTTACCCCTTGTCGTTTACTGTTGTATACAACTGTTATGATCAAATTCGATTTTGTATTGTGATCACATTCGATTTCGTATTATAAAAAGCGAGATTTTGCATTCGACAAACATTTATTGAATTGTAAAGTTTCAGCTTGCAATTCAATAAATGTTATTCAATAAATCTTATTTAAACAAATAGAGTTCGCATTTCATGTTTATTTTGTGAATTGCACGTACGGGCCACCGTACTGGGGCGAATTAAGAACTTATGTTACGTCTAACGAATCCGACATGGTGTGAGCAGACTGCATTTTCGTATCGGATTGCTCAGTGAATCCGGCACACTACGAATCTGGTATCGTGTGAACAGAGCCTAACAATGGCTAACCATGATGATTGTTTACTTATATGGTCAACTTTCAAGTACAAATAATTATATTATTTCTACAATGTACTGCAGTGCAATAGCCAACACACAAGTTTGGTTCTACGTGGTTAGCAATGCCTTAAGACAGAAAAATTTGCTAAAAAGAACCAACTTTGCAAGCTGGCTACACCACTGATGTTCTTATTGTGCTTTAATTTGATATGTTGGAGTAAAGCTGTGTAGTTGTTTATTGCAATAAGTTTATGTTAATGTTTCAATGTGAACTGATTTTTTTAAACGTAATCATGTGAACAATGGAAGTTAACGTTGCCTACCTTGTAGATTCTATCCCTTGTTATATTGTATCCCTGGTTATCTTGTATCCCCTGAATACAGATACTCTCTGTGCATCTCTGAAAACACGGCCGAATCGTTTCGAGCTTCGGAGAATCAACATTTGGTTTGAGAGGTTTTACACATCCAAAATACGTAGACGTTTGAGAGGCTAGAAATGCAAAAAGAAAAAGTTGGGCGACTACATGACGGGTACAACGAGAATGGAAAGAACGTCGGCGCCCCTATTGGTTAAACGGACTGGATTATGGACAGTAATTGGGGATTGTGATAAGTCGAATAGAATGCACGGTCTATCTGGATTTACCAGGTACGGATGTGGAGTCAATTATGGTGATTGTTGGGATAAGGGGAGTTAATTCTAATTTCATAATTCAAAGAAAGGTTAAGGAACTGTTTGTAGAGTTTTGGTTTTGAAAATAATACACTTAAATCAAAATTTCATCACTGAAGAATTGTTTCCCAAAGCAAAGCGTTTGTCAGTTTCAGTTTGTTTAGGGAGGTAGTTCGCCATTTTTATGTATTATTAAATATGTAGCAATCAGGGTCAGACATAGTCAGTGGTGTATCTAGCAAAAAAAGTTTGCTCACGCTATTGCAGACAGAGCCACGCCCCTATTACGTCATGATTTTTAATCAAACATAGAGTAAGACATGAGTACTTTATTAAATTTTTATGTACAAATTTTAAAGTTCAAACAAACAGCACAAAACTTTCTAAGAACTCGAAACAAGAATTACCGTATTAGTTTTACACCTCAACTTCTTGGTCATTTTAGCGGCTATGACTTTATATGCGGCAATTAAGTTCACCCAAACTAAACTTAAGGTAAATTTTAGTTTGACTGTACACAGGATAGCGAATGACATTATGTTAAAGGAGAAATGTCAGTATTAGCATAACTGACCTCAAAACGTTTCAATTCACAATAAAGCCACAAAATAATAGTACAATAACAAATATTATGATATACATGTATATTCAAGATTAAAGCAGAATTCCATTTTCAAAAAGTCTTCATATGTGCAAAAATGAAACTTTATACAACAAAATCAGCTTATGAGCTAAGCAGGGATTAAAAAATGAAAATGATATTTTGTTCACAAGAATGCCAAAGCAACATTAAAATGAGCAGACATAGTAAAGAAATATTATAAGTTTATAAATTAATATAACTGCAAATTCTTTTCGTCAAAAATAGCATACACAAACCAAAGCTGTCATTATGAAATGCCAATACCTTTAAATAAGACAAATACAACCCACTTATTCTTCGCCGGGTGCATCAGTTAACTCTAAGTTACTCAATATAACTACAACTATCAATATCACCTAAAATTCATCTTGTATCATCATGTTTAGACCATAAATGAAATTACATAGAATAGCTGGGTAAGATTCCAGTTAACTGTCCATAATTGTCAAATTATTATATAAAATAAACTATGCAACAGATTTTTGATAAGGGAAACCATGCACAATTTCAAGGAATCTAGAAAAATTGCCTTTATGAAAGCTGCCATAAGACTCATCATGCACTCTTTATCAGACCAATGAGGCAATAAATTTGAATCAGCATTTTTATCATGATACCAATTCAATATATGCTTAAACATGAAACTTGCCAACCTAATTTGTAATTGGAGTGTACATAAGGTGCAATACCATTAATATTCCATGTCCAATATCTTAGACTTTAAGTCAAATGTCGAATGTGTGATGTTGCCATATCGTACTTATATAATCAGAAACAAATATGGAAGGGACTCTCTGCGTTTATGATGTCAAAGTACCAGAAATTCACGAAACTACGGTGGCCAATAAGGGACACGACTTCTTTATACAAAACTCATGTGCAGTTTTCACTTAACTGTAACCTGATCCATAGAAATAGACCTTCTGTTTAAAGGAAATCACATCACATATTCTATAACTCTCAACTAGATTATTAATCACATGACCAATGTACTTATTATTGTTCCGCCTTGTAAAAGAGCACATGTTATGTTGAAATATATTCTTAATCATTATGGGTTAAACTGTTTTATGATTCTGTCTATGTTCGTTAACACCTCTAACTCTAACAGGTTATGGGCCCAGGATATTATGATCTAAATGTAAATTGAACAAGTCGACGATTTTATAAAATATTCCTATAAGTATTTTGCGGTCGAATATAAAATGAATATGGCTGAATTGAATTCGTTCGAATTTGCGAAGTTAAATGGGTCGGACCTGGTCATTTAACACGCGTTTGTACTTAGAAAGCCTTGATCTGTTTGAAAATGCTGAGGGTGCTGCTCAACTTACGTCGGAAAGTGCCGAGGTTTGTCAGAGTTTTGCGCGTAATGCGAAGAGGGCATGGACTCAAATCTGTCTAGCAATCGAACCAGAATATCAAATTCATGTACGCCATACCACAACTGCAAAAGAAGCATGGGACGCTCTAAAGAAGCAATTTGCTAGAGAATCTCTGTTACAAAAAGTGAGATTGAGACAACAATACTACGCTTGCCGTTATCGTCCAGGAGAAAGCATGTTCCATCGTTAAGGAGAAAGCATATTAGTCACTTAAGAACATTGCACGACCAGCTGAAAGAAATGGGGGTAGAAGTAGATGACAAAAACTGGCAATGACACTCTTAGCGAGTTTGCCTGAAGAGTTCAAACCCTTGATTACATCCCTGGATGCAATAGGTAATGAATCCTTATCTTACGACAAAGTAAAAAACATGTTGTTAAATGATGTTGATCGACGACTAGACGGAAAGGATCCTGAAGGAGCATTTGCTGCTGGAAGAAATATGAGAAAAGGAAGGCAACAATATGCATTTAAAGGGAAGTGTCACAACTGTCATGAAAGAGGGCATTTTGCTCGTGACTGTCAAAAGAAAAAGGTCCTCGAAGACAAGAACAAGAAAAGTAATGAAAGAAAGAAAGGTGAATCAGCTAGCTGTGTAGAGAAAGAGGATTATGAAAATATGGTGGAAGACAAAGCATTGTATACATCACGTTCATGGAATAATAACTGCTGGATTATCCACTTAGGTGCCACACAGCACATGAGCTATAATAAGAGTAATTTGGTTGAATATATTCAATTTTCAAACCCATCAATTGTTAATCTTGAAGATAATAGAAGTATTCTTGCATATAGTAAAGGGGTTTGCCGTATTATTGCTGATGCAAATGAAAGACCTCAGAAGATAAGTTTGCGAGATGTGTTATATGTACCAGATCTTGATAGGAATTTGTTTTCTGCAAGAGCCATGGTAAAACTTGGAGCATGTGTTACTTTCAGAGATGATCAATGTGAGATCTTTAGAGGTACACAGTTGTTGGCAAGTGGTATAATGCTGGAAAAGCTGTATGTATTGAAAATCATTGAAGGTAATTATGTGAATGTTGGAACTGATGATAAATTAATGTTATGGCATTGTCGTTTTGGTCACCTTGGAAAGGACAATGTTTCAAAATTGCTGAATGATAATATGGTTATTGGCATGGATACTACGCATAAGGACGAGTCTCCATGTGAGGGATGCATTGTGGGTAAGCATCATAAATTCAAGTATCCCAAATAGGGAGCAAAGCGTGCAACTAAACCGTTTGAATTGGTGCACAGTGACGTTTTTGGAACCATGTCAACAAATTCACTTGGTGGTTCGAAGTATTTTGTTTTTTTTGTTCATGATTTTTCAAGGTACACTTATGGTTATTTTATTAAGAACAAACATGAAGTGTTGGAGAAGTTTATGCAATGGTTTTAAACATCACTGTTTGTTCAGTCAAAGTTTTACGGACAGACAATGGTGGGGAATATTTTTCCAAAGAATTTAAAGAATTTCTTAAGCAGAAAGGAATTACACATCAGCTTACTGTGCCATATAATCCAGCACAGAATGGTGTATCGGAAGGAATGAATTGCACACTTGTAGAATCAGCCAGATCAATGTAATCACATAGTAATATGCTGTTACAATTTTGGGCAGAAGCAGTGAATACAGCTGTCTATCTGAGAAATCGAAGTCCGACAGTATCACTTAATAGAGTTACACCATTTGAATGCTTGTTCAATAAAAAACCAGATGTTTCTAATCTAAGAGTATTTGGATACCTAGTTTATGCTCACGTGCCTGCAAGTCAACGAAAGAAATTTTCAGAGAAATCAAAGAAGCGTATCTTCATCGGATATCCCGAAGGGACGAAAGGCTACAAACTGTTTGATCTACTCAGTTTGATCTTTCGAAGCAGGGATGCTGTCTTTCTTGAGAAAAGATTTTACGACTTTAAAGGTAATGAAAACAAACAGTTCAGTAACTTTTACACTCCACAAGAAGAAAAGATTGATGAATCACATGAAATACCAATGGAAGAATTTGTTCAAGAAGAAAATGATGAACTGGAAAACCCAGTTGAAGCAGATCAGCACCTTAAACCTGTGGGAGCGACATATGAAGAAAATTTTCTTAGAGAAGCTCTAACCCTTCCCAGAAAAAGAATATCTAGACCTCCAAACAGATTTGATGAAGAAAATTACTTCTCACAAAGAAGGTTGTGTTGATCAAGAGAAGAAGAATTATGTATGTCGATTGAAGAAAAGCGTATATGGTTTAAAACAGGCTGCACGGTGCTGGAATTCTGAAATCGACAAGTTTCTATTATCGAATAAATATCGAAAAACGTAATGCGAATTCGTGTGTCTACATAAAGTCCATTAAACGAAAGAATGGTAAAATCGACTTTGTCATATTGTCCTTGTATGTGGATGACATACTGTGGTTTTCTAATTTTACAGAAATGTTGACTAAAGAAAAGAGATCTCTTGCTAAGACATTCAAAGTCGACGATGTTGGTGATGTAGGTTACATTCTGGGAATGTCAATAAAGCGCAATCGTCAAGATAAAACACATCAGTGTAAGTCAGTCACAATATTTGCTTGGAGTACTAAAGAAATTTGGAATGGATGAATCAAAACCAGTATCAACACCACTAGATACGTCAAAGAAGTTTGTATCATTATCTGATAATGAGAAGCCAATAGATGTTCAGAAACATCAAATGGCAATAGGTTCCTTAACATATGTAACTGTTGCAACTCGTCCAGACTTAGCTGCCGCCGTCGCAACTTTATCTAAATATATGTCGAGACCAGGTAAAGATCATTGGCAAGCAGTGAAGAGAGTGTTTCGTTATATCAAAGGAACGATGGACTATGGTCTTTTGTTTACTGCAAATGGAAAAGATTCTGATTTGTATGGTTTTTCAGACGCCGATTGGGGTGGTGATGTGGAGACAAGACGTTCTACATCAGGGTATGTTTTTCAGTTTCAAAACAGCACGATAAGCTGGTGCAATAAAAGACAGACATCTGTAACAAGATTTACAACTAATGCCGAATATATTGCTTTGAGTTCAGCTTCACAAGAGTGCATCTGGCTAAGAAGACTACTGAATGATATTGAATTGTTGAAACCTGTACCTATATACAACAATTTACGAAGATAATGAATGTGCCATTCAAATTGTGCAAGAATCCTAAATTTCATAATCGCACAAAACACATTAACATATCCTATCACTTCATTAGATCGTAAGTTAATAAGAAAGCAATATGCGTAAAGTATTGTACAGAATCAATGATTGCTGACATTATGACTAAGCCATTAAGCAAGCCTACGTATGAACGTTTTAGAGATCTCCTTGGTGTAAAACAAATTTAACTTAATAAGTAATTTAGTTGATCGTTAAGTGGAGTGTTAAAAGGAAATGACATCACATATTGTATAACTCTCAACTAGATTATTAATCACGTGACCAATGTACTTATAATTGTTCCGCCTTGTAAAAGAGCACATGTTATGTTGAAATATATTCTCAATCATTATGGGTTAAACTGTTTTATGATTCTGTCTATGTTCGGTAAAACCTCTAAATCTAACACCTTCTCGTAGAAATAGACCTTCTCCGTAGAAATAGACATTCTACGTAGAAATAGACCTTCTCCATAGAAATGGACCTTCTCCGTGGAAATGGACCTTCTCCGTAGAAATAGACCTTCTCCGTAGAAATGGACCTTCTCCGTAGAAATAGACCTTCTCCGTAGAAATGGACCTTCTCTGTAGAAATGGACCTTCTCCGTAGAAATAACAAATACCGGCTCTAGTTGTCAAATATATCAAATTCTAACAATTCAAAATGGGGGCAGAAACCACAAAGTGAAACTTGTATAGCGAAAGTGAGGCCTTTAAATGCGATTAGGGCCTTTGTAGCGACTAACGCACGGAATTTGCTAATGAGGCAGCAAAATACTGTCATAACTGCGGAAAGGAATTTTCAGGTAAATTTAATCATAGTATCATTAGAGTGATCACTGATCGGTGGTCTGTGAATGATTTGATCATACATTATGTCATTATGTGTATGATTCATCCCCTGTGTGAGCTATTATATACTTTTGTGATATCGGGGACATATACCAAACCTTTAGAAAAATACTTCAATTAATATATTTCTTGCTTTCAATTTGTAGCATTTGCACAAAATGCCTGTCACCATGAACAAGATTGTATTGAATACTATTTTCATCAGGGATACAAGTATCATGACATCACCAATTTTTTAAAAAAATATCATGGTATTACGATTTTTGTCCGCACATTATAAAGAAAACTACAAAAATATAACTTGGAGAAAATAAATGTCAATTTTGATGAGCAACATCTCAGGGATATTATAAAAACAGAAATGGAAGGAGCTGGACAACTTTCTTGTTACTGTAAAATTTGGCATCTACTTCGAATAAGCCATCATTTACATGCCCCACGGAGTGTTGTGGCTAGAGTTGTCCATGAACTAGATCCCCAGGCCAGTAATTAAAGAAAGAGACACAAACTTAAACGGCGAAAGTACTTGTCTTAGGGCCATAATCACTGTTGGCATATTGATGGTAAATTTCAGTTTACTTGAACATGTTAAATTTTTTTGTCTATTTCATGGTGTATACCAGTGGTAAGAGCCAAGGGAAAAACACCTCCAAATGTCATTTACATATGTTGTGTACTGTTTAATAATACCAACATTTTCAAGGTTCATATATGAAGATTTAGTGTAGGAAAAATGGAGGGGAGAGTTTACTCATGTCCTCGCCAGCACAACTGATGAATAGATATTTGTAAATAAATATGAATCCCATACAGGATATGATAAGCTCAAACCCTTTGGCTTCCCTATACATGCAGCAATTGATGGCTTTAGTAGGAAGGTTTTGTGGTTGGAGATATGCAAGTCAAACAACTCTCCAAAGAGCCAACAAAATTGTATTTGGATTGTGTGATCGAACATGGTGGATGCCCCCTGTTAACTCGTTCAAATTATGAAACAGAGAATGGTGATATTGCAGCCATTCAATGTTATTTTCATGATGATGAGAATTCTCATAAATATGGAACATCCACTAGAAACCAAAGGATTGAAAACTGGTGGTCACATTTTCGTAAGTCTTGTACTGGTAAGTAGGATCTATAACAACAATACTAGAAATATGTAAGACGCGGTAACTTTATAAATTAAAAAAGATGGCATGAAAAGTTATTTAAAGTGATAGTAGTTGTAGGTTAATTGTGATCACATACTTTAACTTTTGCAGATTGGTGGATTAACTTTTTCAAGAATTTACGAGATAGCGGATCAGTACGGTGGCCGGTACGGGTCACCAGAAAAATAATTTAAAAAACATAACAAACAATAAGAAAACATCACTCAAAATCATACTACACATTTCAAAATGCTTTCACACATTTCAAATTTACTACACATTTCAGTACTCACTACATTTCAAAATACTCACTACACTTCAAAATACACATTTCAAAATACACAAAAATTCTCACTTTTTCATTCTCGCTACACATTTCAAAATACTCGCTACACATTTCAAAATACTCACTACACATTTCAAAATACTCGCTACACATTCGTCCCAGTCTTACCCTGGTCTGACCTGCCACGGTCGTCATTAGTTTCCATCTACGAAATTGACGTGGTCAGAAAGCTAATATAAATATACGCTTCCGATATTACTAATAGTTCAGTACGCGTAAGGATATTTTGATGCTATTGTGGCGATATGTTGTTTATGTGGAATTCGGCACATAGACTAACATATCGCCACAATTGCATCAAAATATGAGATACGCGTACATGAACTATAAGTAATATTTCTTCCAGGGATTTCTTGGTCTTGGTTAGACAACACTACATGAGTGGTCAATCTACAGATTGCATGTAATTGTATTTGTATTGGTGATATTCGACAATCATTAATTTAACTAATGCACTTATTGACGTGACTGGTATTGAAGTTCTAAATTTATTGCTTATACTCGAAATTACCGAACTTTTTATTTTCTTTGGCGTTTCTTGTGCAACAAATTATAGCAATATGTGTAAATTTCTTCTTTGGTTTCCTTGTTATTTTTGTAACCCATAACACAAGTACGTACGTGACATAGCGAATGCAAATTCATATACTCAAATTCTTGCTATTAAAGTACGGACATGTGTCGAAAGCCACTGCAAATACATTTGCTTGCGATATGTAGATCGTCTACTAATGTTGTTGCCCGACCAAGTCCAGCAAAACCCTGGAAGAATTTCTGATTGGAGTTCAGCTAATATTTTCATGCTATTATCCCAATGTCCCAATTTGTTTGTCTTGTGAAATGCGGGATTATATATTTAATATGTTTACTTTATGATGCCACGTCAGTTTCGTAGATGGAAACTAATGATGACCGTGGGCAGGCCAGACCAGGGTAAGACTGTGACGAATGTGTAGTGAGTATTTTGAAATGTGTAGCGAGTATTTTGAAATGTGTAGTGAGTATTTTGAAATGTGTAGCGATTATTTTGTAATGTGTAGTGAGTATTTTGAAATGTGTAGTGAAGTATTGAAAATGTAGTGAGTATTTTGAAATGTGTAAGTATTTTGAAATGTGAATGTAGGAATGGAATGGTAGTGGAACGAAATGGAACGTAATGGAAGAAAATGGAGGAAATGGAGCGGTGAAACGTGTAGTGAGAGTATTTTGAAATGTAGTGAGTATCTTTGAAACGTGTAGTGAGCATTTTGAAATGTGTAGTGAGTATTTGAAAATGCAGGAGTATCTTGAAACGTGTAAGTGAGTATTTTGAAATGTAGCGAGTATTTTGAAATGTGTAGTGAGTATTTTGAAATGTGCGAGTATGAAACGTCCATTTTGTAGTGAGTGCTTTCTATTGCCTGTTAGCTTCAATTATTTTCTGGTGACCCGTACCGGCCACCGTAGAAGCGTGAACTTTGAGCGCATTACCCAGACATGTGCTTATGGTTCTGTTTCCAGATGTAATCCAAGCATCATTAAACAAAATGAAAGCGTGATTGAGTAGTAATATACATGGGTAATGAACTAAAAAGTTTACTTTTATGTATCTGATTCCCATGCATACTACTACCATAACCCGTGGGTATAAAAGCGTAAATTAAGACCATGGTATAAAGACGTCCCTCTGGTAAAAGGTCATGTAAAAAAGCTGCGTAAAAAAGAGGGTAAAAACTTTCTTTATAACAGCGTAAAATAAGACCATGGTTCAAAAGGCGTCCCTCAGTAAAAGGTCATGTAAGAAAGCTGTGTGAAAAAAGTCATTGTTTCAAAGGGGTAAAAATATGGAATCTATATGTTTTTGAAATATATAGGTGCGTTTAAATTTTACAAACGGTCTTTACAAGCATCGGTTCGGAGAGGGCTCGGCAGCGCAGAGCATGAAATGCCTGAGCAGGGAATGGAGCCCTCGAGAATTTTGAACTTGGTGGGAAAATTTTCACGAAGTGAAAATTGGGGTTCCCTGTAGATTCGATGAATATTCGAAGAATATTCGAGAATAACAGAGGCTTAAAAAATGCTCTTCAAAAAACCGTCTTTAATAATCAAGTGTTAATAATCAAGTGTTAATAATCAAGTGTTAATAAAGCATTGGTTTTGATGGGGCTCGGCAGCGCAGAGCACAAAGTGCTCGAGCAGGGGATGGAGCCCCATCAAATTATAGGCGACGTTGGGAAAATTTTTCACGAAGTGAAAAATTGGGGTCGCCCCCATTGGATTCGATGAATATTCGAAGAATATTAATCGAATAACAGAGGCTTAAAAAATGCTCTTCAAAAAACCGTCTTTAGAAATCAAGTGTTAACAAGGCCCTGCCAGGAGTCTGTCAGGCGCGTGTCTTAGTGCATGTTTTTAACAATGGTTGTTTAATGTAGATAGCACATTTCATCAGCGCGTTTTAATAATAAGTGTTAATAATTTAATGTTTTATAAACTACCTTCAGCAAACAATGTCATAGATGCTTTTAAAAATATGGAATCTATATGTTTTATATAATTTTGTTAAAAGTGTTTTTACTAATTGTTTCAGGATTTTGAATCTTTTGTATATCGCTTTTGTATTAATTACTTATTACAAACAGTTATGTGATATGTAGTCAAACATGAGGATTATTCTTCATCTTAAGTTTTAGCTTGATAGTTATTTTAATAAATTTTTTAATTTTTCGATTTCATCATTTACAAATTTTTAGTTGATAGAATATTATCTTCTATAGTAGCCCTAAAATTTTGTGAAAACCATTAAATGACATAGATAATGTAGATTGATGTTGTGAATAAACTTGAATTTTGGTTAATCCATTAAATGCTGCCAGCCATTTTCTTTTCCATTCGTCATAACCTAGTGAAACTGAAGATTTTGTTGGTTCAATAATAATAAAATATTTTTGAATCATCATCAACACAGTATACGTGATATAAATCTAGTAATGCATTAACTATCTTTTTTCATTATCATTTGTTACTTTAATGATAAATTTTTTAATCTTATCTGCCATCATATCTAATTTAATTGTTTTAGAGTTATCAGATGGATTTATTAATAAAAGTGTAAATTCAATAAATTTAACATTATTAAAATAAATTCTGATAATATCTTGTCGGGTATTAAAATTTTTATAATTTAATTGATTGCTATGGTGTACTACTTTACCATTTACTCTGCTATCAATCTCATTCTTTGTATAATAGTTAGTTAAATTAGAGGTCAAAGCATACTTACCATCTGATTCATTCTTTGTATAATATTTATTTAAATTAGAACTTAAAGCATACTTACCATCTGATTCATTCTTTGTATAATAGTTAGTTAAATTAGAAGTCAAAGCATATTTACCATCTGATTCATTCTTTGTATAATATTTATTTAAATTAGAACTTAAAGCATACTTACCATCTGATTCATTCTTTGTATAATAGTTAGTTAAATTAGAAGTCAAAGCATACTTACCATCTGATTCATTCTTTGTATAATATTTATTTAAATTAGAACTTAAAGCATACTTACCATCTGATTCAGTCTTTGTGTAATATTTATTTAAATTAGAACTTAAAGCATACTTAGCATTTGTTTCATTCTTTGTATAATAGTTGGCTAATCTTGAAACAAAAACATATTTATTATCAGCTTGTGTTTTAGTATAATGTTCTAGTAAATTAGAAGTCAAAGCATACTTACCATCAGCTTGTGTTTTAGTATAGTAGTCATTAAATTTATTATTAACTTGAGTTTTAGTGTAGTGGTTATCTGATAGATGTGTTTTATCTACAGGTCCTTGTATATTTACATTAATATCTGTTTTATCATGCCCATAAAATAAGCTCATTTATATTATTCCTCAGATTTTATATCCGGTTTATTATTTTTATGTTCGTAAACATGTTTAACGGTTGTTATACCACCAGATAAAAACCTAAAAAGGTAATAGGGTGATATTTTTCTACTAAACTATACACATCTCGTTTTAAAAGGTCGTCTGATTTAAGCTGTTTTGTTAATTCTTTGAGTCTTCAATAGCATCAAACCTTTTAATATATCTGAAAATTTTGATATAACTAAATCAGTTAAAAACTCATTAGCTTTTGTAATCGTTTTTCTCGTATTCAATGTATAATTTATCAATAATTTTTGACTAGCTTTTTTAATGTAAGCAACTGACTTGTCTAAATCACCATCTTCAGCTAGTTTAAGTAGTTGATCTCTTTTATTAAAACCCTCTTGCGGTTTATCTTGTATATTATCATCACATACAGCATCTTTGATAGTATCATTTGCGGAATCAATCTCATTAATTATATCATCAATTGTTTCAGGCTCTTTACGCTTTGGCATATATATATTAACACATGTTTTATTGCGGAATAACAATTTTCCATTGGTATGGATATATTAGTTGAATAAATAGATGAGCAAATTTATTATTTTTCAATTTTTTGGTTATTTCTTCTATATCATCTTTCTCAACACCATAAAGATAATCATCAAATATTGTTTTCATATTATTGCGGTTTGTATTATAAAATGCAACTAAATAACTTATATTTTCACGATAAGGTTTGGCAATACTTGTCAATTGCTGTGTAACCACAATAGTAGAAAGTCCATAATGACGAGCACTGAATGCTAAACGAACTAATTCAGATGTCCTATTTTTAACATCTAATCAACTTGCGCAATCATCAAGAATAATAAGACTATTTGTACCTTTATATACATCACTAACATATTTTAAAACAATATCTACCTGATCTTGGTCACATTCTACCTTAATTAAATCAGAATCATTTATATATTTCCATTCTTGATAGGTTTTATTATATGATAATGGGCATAATAAAATAATATAATCAAAATGTTATTAAAGTTTTTTCTAACATTCTTAAAAGAATGAAGGTTTTACCACAATTAGTCATACCTAAATTAATCATATTAAAAGGTGTATTCATATATATATTACTGGTTATTTTAGTAGCTAATGCTTTGTAAATCATTATTAACAAATTGAACAATAGCATCACTAAAAACATAGATGTAACAGTTTAAATTTTTTGTATATGATCTCTTTTTAATTTCAAGCAGAATACCATTCTGAGTATTAATGATTCGATTCCCGTTACCAGCAATATTTTTTTCTTGAAAGGTGCGTAGATCGATAACTAATGCAAATTTATCCTTATAAAATTTTTCAATAGACATGAAGCAATCTATCGGAATAGTTCTATCAAAAAATTTTCTTGCTTCTTCATAAAATAGTGTTTTATTCATACCTTGGTTGAAAATACAATTTGGGTACCTTCTATTGTCACTTTAACTTCATCAATTAATGGAAATTAAATTTTCACTATCACTAACTGAATTTTCTGTGAATAGTAGTACAATGCCTTTCATACTTTTACGAGGGACATTTACGTTTATATTCTGTAATGTACTTGACTTATCCCATTTTTCCTTTTTAAGAGGGTTATATGTTCATAAAATAGGCTTCTTCCTATAGAATATAAATTTGTCACCTCATTAGCAATTTCTTGGTTTTCAATAGTTTCATATTCCAGCTGAATATTTTCTAATTCATAATCACCTATATTTTGACCACTTTGGGGGATAAGGACTTGATCACTTGGTGGCAATGTTATTATGTATTGAAAGTTATTATTCATATTGAAAGGGCAATACAGACCATGGTCTTTAAGAATATTATCAATATTAATTTTTGTCTTATACCATAAATATCATACATTAATTTGTCTGCTACTTTTTCTGACTTCCACTTGTTGCAGCAGTATCATCTTTCGAAATGAGTTTTCGTAAATTTTCGCTACAAATACCATATTCAATAAGGCCTTGTCGATCACTTTTAGGTAACCACAAGTCTTTGTATACACTTATAATATTATGTTCACTACAATCGTAAAGGGTTTCCCCAGCCACTTTAATTTGTAGTCTATGTTGTAAAATCTGACTGAGATTATTTATAAAGTGACTTTTGTATTACTGATTTTAAGATCAAACGATAGATTAAGTGAACCAGGCACTAAGCAACTATTTGCTTTCAATTTCGGAATATTAATATAAACTTGTTCATTCGGTTTAAGACTATTAGGTTAAAGGTTATACTATAAAAAGTACGGTTACCTTTAATTTTGTCATAGCAGTCCTTTTATAACCAGGTAAAAGCTCTTCTTGTAATAATCTATTCATATATATTAAAACATATTTTATTTTCTTCTTTGTTTATACTGATCATATATTAACAAAGCAGCAGCAATAGCTAAAATCCATAGATTAGAAGCTACCCATGATAAAACTTTAGCTCCCCAAGATATAGCCTGAGCGATAATATTCAATAATGGTCCTAACACTGGCCATAATTTTTTATCTAGATTTGATAAAGCCTTAGAAAATTTACTAGTAGCTTGAGCACCTTGTAGGATTGCTTTTCTTGCACCAATGACAATGGTTGTAATTATACCAGCCACAGATATAGCTAAAGCTGATAATCCAGGGATATTTTCCTTAACCCATTCTTTAAACTGTTGTAACCTAGTAATGTCTTCTTCCTGTTTATCTCGTACATCCTCTTTTTCTAATTGATCTTCTTCTTCTTTAATTATAATTTCTAATTCCGCGGCCCTTTCGTGCAAATTAGTTAATTCATCAATATTATTGTCAATACCATTTTCATTTTCTATTTCATCTATTCTAGCTATAGTTTTGTTTAGCTCTTCAGAAAAGTGATTTATTTGTGCTTCTATGAATTGTGGACGTGTTCTTTTATCAATAGTTCCAGAGGGGGTCATTACACCTATATGTTCTCTAAGCTCTTGATTAGTTATTTGATTGAAATTTTCTGTATATTGATTATTTAAATCAACCATAGGCATACTCTCTTCAGTTTTTATAAATTCATCTTGCAAATTAATAATTCTGTTAATTTCGTGTTTAAATTGTTTAACAGCTTCTTTAGCACTTTCTGCTTTATTGTATTTTAATATACCATTACTATTACGTTTTAAAACAATTCTTTCAGCACCTCGCTCATTTAGTGTATTTAATGGTTTGTAAGTGATATTATTTAAATTCGTTTTACCTAAATTTAATTTAAAATTTAAACCTTCAGAAGCTGCCATACCTTTTAGGTGATTAAATCTAAACACTTTTTGATTTTTTTTTGTAATAAACTGTTCAACAGCAAAAGAAACTTCATTTTCAAGTCTATTAATATTTGTATAAATAGGAGTTGAAGTAGGAACATTAGGAAGATTATTAGGTATTGTTATACCATCCTTATCAGTAATAAATAATTTATCATCATTATCATTAATAAATAATGTTTCAGCAATATTTTCATTATCATCATGTTCTTCATTATCTTCTTGCTTTTTATCTTCTAATTCAATATAAACATAACCGTCAGCCATTATATAGATTACTCTATATTTTGTATTTCACTTTCAGGAATCCAACTGTTATGTTTATTATCATAACCTAACCATTTAACTAAAACCATCTTTTTACCTTTAACCTTCTTACGTTTTAATATCTTTTCAACTCTATAAACATCATCTTTCTTATTAACAACTGACAGTTCCTCTTCATAAAATTTACCAATTATAGGCTCTCCTTCTAAATCTTCTATCTCATATAAATTAGGGTCTCCTCTAATAACTTTAGTCACTCTAAACAACTCTTCTGTAAAATTTGCTTCATAACCTTTTGTAAATATAGATTTATACTTTGATATTCTAACCATATCACCAATTTTAATCTTAGGTAATGGTAAATAAGCAACTTCATGACCGTATAATGTATTCCATACTTCATCTTCATTATTTTTATTAACATCTTTAGGCTTCATCAAGATTGTACTGTGTTTTGTATTGTTATAATTATATACTAAATCATCCAATATATCAATCCATTTATATGTTCCTTTACTGTAAAAATATTTCCACATAGATGTTTTAAGCGTTCTGTTGAATCGTTCGACAATCGCAGCTTTTTATCATTTTAGTAGAGAAGTACTTAATTCCATGTTTCTCTAATAATGATTTGACACCTACATTATAAAATTCTTTACCATCATCAAATTGAGCTAGTAATGGGTAATCATTAAATCTATCTTTAAATTGACTTAATAGTTTTGCAACAGCTTTTGTCATATTATT